AACCCTGAACCCCACCAAGCCCTGAGGTCCACTGAACCTCGGAATGGTATGGAGATATTGCAAGGCGCTCGAGGCACAGGAAGCAAATGCCTTTCTGCGACTGCAAGTGAGCTATAGTCTGAATTCCTAGGATCCCCCTTAATCCCCCGTAATACTCCCCTATAGAATCCCCCTACATAACCCCCAAATTCTTGAAAGGGGGATTACATAAGCCAAATGGTATCAATGCGTCAGGAGGTCCCAAGCCTAGCGCAAAGGCACACGTGCGCAACTTCGTCTCAGCCAGACCGTATTCATGCTAATCTTGGTATTCCCTGACATGCACCGCCTCCACATTATAGGGCGACAATGTGTTTGTAATTCCCCAAGTTCCACCATGGAGGGAACCCTTTATTGCCAGAATGACTTGTCTTACCCTTGGTAAGCTAGGAACGAAAGAATGGATCCTCATAGTTGTATTTGCCCATTATAGTAGTTTCCATTTTTCCATTCCTTCCAAGCCCTGAACCCTAAACCCTATATAACCCTATATAACCCCCGTTATAGGTACAGCATTTTCCATTTTCTTTTCCATTCCTTCATTCCCAGCTAACCAAAGGGAAGTTATGTTGGAAGGCCAAGCTTGGTGACAGCAACCTGGCGGACAAGCGGATCGTCCATTACTGCTCGCATGACCCAAAGAAGGCCTTGTTGCTATACTAGAGTATACTATAGTATACTATAGTATAATATAGGGGTATATTATAGTAGTATATTGTAGTATATTATAGTAGTATATTATGGCATAGTAAGTATATGGTATATTTTAGTAGTACATTATGGACATCATGGAGGTTGCATTTCCAAGTTTCACGCGTGGCATTCCCCAGTTGGCGATGCAGGAACAAGTCCCCCACTCAGCTCCCCATTATCATCCTCACAACCCAGTCTACAATTTGTTGCTAAGCCCCAAAGTCTACACCCTACAAAATGGTGCAGTGTCCCTTTTCTTGCCATATTCCCATTTCCAAGTAAGTGAAGCAAGTACTAGCTCCAAGCTCTTGTCTGCTGCAGCGCGCGAATGCCGCGACTCTGGTGTGCGCCTTCCAGGCAGGAAGGGGGTGCGCGCTTTTGCATGTCAGGGAGAGCCTGAGGCAGGAATTTTGGGCTTGCGGAGGCAGGGTGGGAACTCATGTCCCAGCCTTGGACTAGTTTGTCCGACCAGCGTTGCTTGGGGGCTACAAGTTCCCTAAGTTGCATGCTGATGAGGGACCGCCATGTCGCAGTGTAAGTTGGGCCGTTATATGCTCTTGATCGAGATGTGTTAATCACAAGCGGATGGATGAGGACTAATGCTTGCATCGCCCTGTGGTTCCCAGGGTACCTCAATTTTAAGAAACCTTGCACCTGGGTGCATGCAGGTCATCGTGCTTGGCAAGCCAGCAGATGAGGCGCAGTTACTACTACCTGCTTTACCACATCTGTTGCCCCCAGCAGCATATGTAGGAAATGCTCCATGGCACCAGGGCGAATGGCAAGCAGTGTGCGTGAACATGCTGCCAATCTGAACTGTGTCCACTGGAGGCCTACAAGCCGTTCCAGTCTGTCTACCCTCCCTTTCTACCGTACCGCGATGCAACCTGCCGGGGGCTTGGTCGCAGTGTCATTCTGCAGTCGCTCAAGCGCCAGTAGCCGTGTTTGACCCCAACTAGCGTATGGCAGCACCCCGGGTTTCCCAAAATTCGGGGCCTTTTGGGAATCCCCATAGTAAACACTGTAGCATTTAGGGGTCTATATGGGGGTCCTCTTATTTTGGGGAAACTACCAAACATCCATTCTCCCAATATAACCCCAAATATAACCCCTACATATTATAGTAGTTTCCATTTTCTTTTCCATTATCCCAATATAACCCCAAATATAACCCCTATATATTGTTATTTTGGGAAACTACCCTAAACCCTAAACCCTAAACCTCAACCCCCCAGGGGCTTCTTACTGTGCTGACTTCTACTGCTATGACCTCTGCGCTTTAAGGCGGCATCTGCACCTATAGCCTGACGGTCCTGGACTGCCTGAAGGCTTTTAGGGTTTTAGGGGTTTA